CACATGCATGACAACCTGCACGGACATAGTTTTGGCACACTTTTAGAAAAAGTTTAGCCATCACTGTCCTATACCATTTGAGACAAGTGGCTATTCAGCTTCTTCTTAAGAGCCTGCAGTGGTGAAGCAGCTACAACCTCTGAAGGGAGGCTATTTCATGGGTTAATTGTTCTCACTGTTAGTTTTAATCTAATTTAAAATGGTTCTAATCCCAAGTATGAGGAGATGAAGAGGTAACTCTTGGTAACCTTATAGGGAGTGAAGATTAATTAAATCTGTTTAACTAATTGATGATCAAGGTTGGAAATTGTGATAAATTTGTGAATTTGTGATCAAGGTTGGTTGCCATCAAAGTTGGAAATCACTTTTTTATATATTTTATATTTTTCCTTTTTTCCTTTTTTTCTCTTCCCCTTTCCATTCCTTCTTTCTATTCTGCTTTCTTTTTCTAAGTTTTGTTTCATTTTTACTACAATAATGAAAATCCATAATGAACTGTTGTGGCCCAGCAGGAGCAGTTGGAGCTTCCACCAGACTTCGAGAGCGAGGAGCCCTATGAGTCGGCTNTCTTCCTTCTTCCAGTATTGCGCCACCAGCAGTCTTGCTGCTGTTATTAGGTGCAGAATCAACATCCTGTGGGATCTTATCGGCCATTGGGAGATATGTGGCAGAAGACGGTCTCGCAGATATCCGGGTCCTAGGCCATGTAGGGCTTTAAAGGTGATAACCAGCACCTTGAAGCCCGTTCAGAGACTGATAGGGAACCAGTGTAGCTCGCGGAGGATTATGGTCATAATTTGAGGACTCCCCATCAGAGGTGTGGTATTCAGCCGGTTCGCCCTGGTTTGGGCGAAGCGGTAGGGGCAGTGGTGGCACTCCACCCAGTCACCCAGACGTCACCATGGACGCTCTGCGCATGTGCGAAAGGTTCTGCACATGGACAGAAGGGCCTCCCAGTTCCAAACCAGTAGCGAAGGTAAGAGAAAACCATTACTGCTCCACGTATAGTTTTTAATTTTTTTTTAAAGCATACAGAGTCCTGGACTTACAACGGTTTGTTCAGTGACCGATCAAAGTCACAACGGCACTGCAAAAATGGACTTACGACCGTTTTTCACACAACCATTATTGCATTCCCCATGGTCACGTGATCAAAATTCAGATGTTTGGCAACTGACTCGTATTTATGATGGTTGAATTGCCCCGGGGATCAACTGTGGGGAACTTGTATAAGATGCTTTACAGGTGGCACCTATCCCCGACGAGACAGTGGTGAGATTCAAATAGTGTAACAACCGGTTCTCTGCCCTAATGACCAGCTGGGTAGGTGTGGCTTGGTGATCACGTGACCTTGTGGGCGTGGCCAATTCAATGTCACTCACGCCGCTGGATGTCTTAGTTGTTACAATATAATAAGGGTTAACCGGAGAGGCAGTTCCTGTAAAGATTAGGCTAGAAACAACACCAGAATGTTTCCTTCCTGCCTTCCTTACAGGATTAGCCCTGCAAAGTGGGGAAAAAGCAAAATAAGATTTTTTTCCAACAACCGCTTCTCCAAATTGCTTAGAAAGTTAATAACCGGTTCTCCCGAATAGGTGTGAATCGGCTGAATCCCACCACTGCGACAAGAATAGCAAGAATGTTCAAGAGTAAATCGGAAAAGTGTTGGAAATGTCATCCGATACCAGGTTCGTATTACCACATGTGGTGGACTTGCATCATAGAAGCTAAGAGATATTGGACTAAAATCCACATCTGGTTGGAAAAAAATGATACAAAAACATGAGACTTTAAACCAGAAATCTTTTTTATTGGGAATTATACTGGAAACATACAATAGAGAATTGAAATATTTGATTGTGAATGTGTTAACGGCAGCTAGAATTGTATTTGCTAAAAATTTGAAAAGATGAGAAAATAAGTTATTTACAAAACAATGGAATGTGCAGAAATGAGCAAATTGACATTTGAAATCAGAGAACAAGAAGATAAGCAATTTTATAAGACACGGGATTTATTTTACCAATGGTTAGATTAAAAAAAAGCATGGAAATGAAAAATACTAGAGAATGTTACCATTACAAGAATAATCGAATGACATTGAATATAACACAAAGATATATTATTATTGAATAGATTGAAGATGATGTAATGAATTGTTATAATATAAATGATCCCAATACTTAGTATAGTTTGTTGAAAATGAAGGAATAAATAGTGATAGTCAAACAAATACAGTACAATGATAATAACATATATAAATATATTGGATTTGATAATACGTAATTTCATATAAATTGCAAGTGATGACTGTTGTGGCCCAGCAGGAGCTGTTGGAGCTGCCACCAGACTCCGACAGCGAGGGGCCCTATGAATCGGCTCTGGAGGATGTGGAGAACCCTGGACAGGGTTCCGACTCCGAGCAGGGCGCAGAGAGGCTGGTTAGCCACCAGGAGGCGCCTGAGCCTTGGACCAGTGGGGAGGAGACAAGGAAGAGTGAGCCGGACGCCAGCAGTGACTTGTTCCTGGATACTCGGCACTGAAGAGCTAATAAGCGTAAGGAACAGTTGTGCAAGTACAGGAGGTAATTGCACTCAGCTGGTGGTCATTAGGCTCCTCACCAGACTATAAAAAGGACTGCTTGTGCACACACCCCT